GCTTCATAATTATTTGATATTTTGCTTTAAGTTACATGTCAACTCAGCGGGCAGCCCACGTCTGGCCAGCTGGAAGCTCGTGAAGAGCTGTTTGGGGAAAGAAGAGAAATGAGGTGTGGTCATCATCATTATCATCACCACCACAACCACCGCCATCGAAATCACAGCTTTCTTCGCTTGCAGAGGAGCGAAGGTTTTCCAGGGGGCTAACGCTGACGCGGGTGATGATGGGGCTAGCGGAGTAATCATCGGGTAGTCACGGCGGTGTGTAATGGAGGAGAGCGGCTCGTCTTCCTGCGCGTGCGTGTCGGCAAATACTCGCGCATATGCCGAGGAGGCTTGTGTGTGTGTACATTTGTGCATGCACCAGTGTGAAAGTGTGTGTCTGTCAGAGGCTAGTAAGGGTGGGCACAATCTGCATGCACTTAGTCCTGGCAAAGCAGTGCAGGCGTTTCTAAGCCCTTGGACCGCGGGGTGGTGGAAAGCCGATCTGTAAATAACAGACACATGTGTTTGAAACTGAGTCCTGTATTCCAGCCCAGAGCCGCAATGAGAGGGAGAACACCACTCCGCTCCGACGTCAAATTGTCTCATCCAGTGTTGTATGACAATCATGCTGTAATAGCACCAAAATAGCTCCTCAAAAGAGTGTGTGTGTGTGTGTGGAAGGGAGAGGGGCATAGTGGCGGTCTGCTGTCGGGTGTTTCTGATTATTTGAGATGGGGGCCTGCATAATGTCACGTCAAATTATGTGACTCTGACAGCTACAGCTTGTTGGGCCAGTTGGAGAGAACTGCTGGCTGGCTGGCTGAGAGGATGGATAGCCGACTAGCTGGCTGACCTGTTGGCTCGAGAAGTGTGGCCCGTACAATACAAATGGGATAAACAAAGCACTTTGAGAGGCCAAGCCCTTGACCTCTGCTGACACGAGACCTCATCTGGGAGTTGAGGATTGGTTTTAATTTCTGTTTGGCCCAAGTGGAGGGTGTTGAGATGACCTACAGATGACGGACAGGCACAGCACTGTCACTTTGCCTGTATTGTTTCCTCATGCTCTGTTTACTGCCCCCAAGGGAGCGCTGTCTGTTGAGAAAAGGCTGATGTAGGGCAGGATTTATTTTCTGGATTTACTATTTCAGGTTATTTTGACATTCAACTCCAATAGCGAGAGATTACTGCTTTTATTTAATTTTTTTCTTGTTTCTCTCCATTTTTGTTTCTTTTATCAGACTTCATGTTACTTAACGGTCATCTTATGTTTCCCATTCCCTCCAAATGCTCTGTGGTTCATTTGCACATCAGTGACAGCTGAATGTGGACAGGAAATATCTTGGAAAGTGTGACAATACTTATGATAAAAGCAGTGCAGCTTCCATGTTATACAGCACTTTTCAAGCTTGGGTTATCAATATAAACTAGTCCGGTTCAAAATACAAATATGAATACAACATTGTTCTTGATCATTGGCAAACGTCATGATACTGTTTAGCTGTTGCAGGATAAAAGTTATGAAATCTGCATTTACATTTAATGATTAAAATCCTTGAATTTACTAAACAAGAAAAAATAAATACTTGCAGAGGGATTCATTCCTATTTTTTATAATCATTTTAGGCTGTTGGAAACAATGCTAACATGACAAACCTTTCTTTTTAAGAAGTTGCTTAATTGCATGTTCAGCACCAGTGAAACCATTTGTCATGCTTTAAATTTTTTGTTAGCTTGTCACATTTTTACACATTTGCAAATAAATTGATCATTTCTATGTATTTTATGTAAGTCTTCAGTGAAAATAAGACTGCTAATATTTGTGGTTAGCAATAACTTTAGCATAGGATTGATGAAGCGCAGGCGGCGAGCATGATCAGTAAACGCACACCTACATGTCGTAGCTGTCTGCCGCCAAATGGGGACGGTGTCAAAGATATGTGGAACAGCTGGAAATGTAAGCTACTCGTGTTTGTGTTTGTCCTGCTGTTGATCCTTTAGCTTAGCCCCTGCTATAGAGAAGACGGAAGTCACACAAAGAACTCTTTTTTTTCTCTACTTGGTGAACACTGTTCTGAGTAGTATCCTGTTGGACACTGCGGTGTTGTGTAGTTTTAGTGAAAAGCTGCCTGAAGGCACTAGAGGACATTGTAGTTTTATGTACAAGTTGTGGCAGTGCACAGGGAGAAGAGGAAGAAAGATGAGCTGAAACTTCTCCAGCTTGTATTTTTTACTTTTATTTAAAAGGGTAGGATGCTATAAATGCATGCTTGCCTCTTTACGGTACCAGCATGGTACTGGGTTGGTAGCCTATAGGTGCTCCAAAAAGTTTTACAGATCCACGTGTATATATTTGTACCTGTGTACTGTCATTTGGCCTGTTGTTGTTCATGTTTGTGCTGTTGTTGGGCTTTTAGCTTAGCACCTACTGCAGAGAAGACAGAAGTCATTTTAGACAACAAAACTTCTTTTTATTGGAGTGAAATTGAGTGTTAAAAAAGTTCATTGCCCATGCCAGCCATTGATTCTGCTTCTCATTTGTGTGTGTGTGTGTGTGTGTGTATTGAATTATTTTGGTGTTTCTGTTGAAGCTAGCTTTTTAGCCAACTATGACAGCATTGTTGAGTTTTTAGAGTGTACATCAGTGTGTTCTTGCAGCCTTGCTATTGAATGTCTGTATAGCAAAGTGCTATGCTAATGGACACAAACATTCATAAGCACAGTTTTAAAAGCTGTGTAGACTGAATTTCTGTCATCTTTCTCTCTTTGAAACAAAAAGGTACTCAAGCCAAAAAACCCACTTGTGTACAGTATAAGCTAGTTCCTACCATAAAAGAATTACGTAGCCACTGTAATGTACATATTGTTACTATACACTGTGTTTCCATCAGTTTTCTAATGCCAGACATTACCACTCTTGAATGAGAGTGTCAGCTAACACTAGCAAATTTGGTTACCATTCTTAAGTTGTATTTTTGTAAGGCACAAATTGAAATCTGCCAGTTATTGTGAAGTAGCTAAATAGCAAAATACCAGAACTTCATTTAGCAAAACTCAAGTAGAAACCATTTTTTGTCAAATAAATGCATTAAAACTGCTTTATGAGGTCCCTACAACACAAATGCAGTGGAGCAGACTTAAATGACCAAAGGTGTGTGACAGCAGTTGTCTGTGTTAAAGTGGCCACACCCCCAAATCTAGTTTCCAGATAGATGAGTTAGAGAAACTGTCTATAGAGCCCTAAACACTTTCTATACTAGGCTGTGAATGTCTACTCTTAAATTCTGCTGTAAAATTGGGCACTTTAACATTGGATTGTATGGGGATCAATTTACTTTTGGAGCAAGCCTCTAGTGGGCACCAGAGGAACTGCAGTGTTTGACACTTTGCATGGTCTCAGCCAAAAATCTTGTGTAGTGGAAACCCTAATACCAATGATGGTGTCAAAAAAGAAGGAAAAAAATGTTAGCCTGAAGAATGAGTTATAAACATTCATAGACCATGTTTAATCAGTCAGAAGTATCTAAAATACCACGAGATGACTTTTTTGTTCTATAACAAGGGACAGATTAGAAAGGGAGTTTCTGAAAAAGCACAGTGTTTTGAACTGGGACATTGTGCAGGAACCAAAAGTGTTAACACAGAATCCTTTTACCTGTCACTTAATGTTCCTCAGTGGTATATTAACCTGAAGTCAGCCCTTAGAGGGAGAAGACATGTTTGGACAACACCTGACATGACAGGCTGCTTAGCAATCTCCATTAAAGCCAATGAAAACTGAGAAAAAGCAGACCGCCCGGCTCTCTAAATTGGTGCCAGTGAGGTCAAGTTGCAGGAATATGTCAATTACTTAAATTGATCGGGAGACGGTTTCCTTGATAACCAATTTGATCAAGCTCCTGATCGTGTTACATGCATAGCACTACATGTGAATTGAGCAGGCTGTCTCAGAAATTGGTTACAACACACTAAAAAGGCTAAACGCAATTTCCTCTTTGAGGCTAATTCTGTTTCGTCATGTCAGGTGGTGGATGGGGCCACAGCCATAGCATGTAAACAATGGCATTTCAGTTGATTTAATTAGGCAGAGAGGAAGCATTTAGGGGCTTAATTGAGATTGCAGTGGGAAATTGCTCTGAAATAGGTCTACCTGATTCTTTTTTTCTTCTTTTTTTCCTCTCCTCACAGAGAGCATGACGAGGGATTTCACTCTCCTCTTTGTAGATAATTAGAATAACCGTAATCACTCCCTGGATGGCCTGTGATTGGAGCGAGTCACATGCCAAACTTATGAAGAGTGTGTATGTTTCTCGGTGTGTGCATGCATGCTCTAAAGTCCTTTTGTGGTTGTGGAAATTGAACACATGCATTCAGGAGGACCTTCTATATTCAGAAATCCGTCTTGTACTTCTCCCTGCCTCAGATGGCAGTATTGCACTTTATTAAGCTTTGGATTGACCTTATTTTATTTATATAGTATTAAACTTTTTTATTCTATCCTAACATGGTTCTCTATTGACATTGTGTTTTAATTGTTGTACCACATTTTGTGACCTTTATGTCAGTGAATGTGCTATATAAATAAACTTTACTTACTTTGTTTATTATTTATGAAACTTCACATTTAACTTATTTCAAATTCGGTGACAGAGCCCTTTAAACAGGCCCGCTATATTTTCTAATCAATAGTTCTGTTGAAGTGTTACAATTTTGCAAGATTACTTACGGAATTATTTGTTTTCACTAATTATGTGTATACTGTTAACATTTATTTATTTTAATTTAGATTTTGACCATTATAAATATAGGAGTTCATTTATGTTTGTTATTCTGATGACTTTGCTTTTAGCAGAATTTGTACATCTGAACATTTAATTTTTATTATTCATTTATTTATTTATAAAAAGTGGATCAAATTTAATGCAGTGTATTAATCATTTTGTGCTTAAAAACATGCATTTTGAAGCATGCTCGCAATAAATTCAGCCATCATTTTATTTTCCCCCTAACAGGCATTTGGCTTCATGTCACGGGTGGCTCTGCAGGCAGAGAAGATGAACCATCACCCAGAATGGTTCAATGTTTATAATAAGGTAACAGGGACTGGAGATTCATTTACAGTGCTGCGTTTATTTACTATAAAGTAAGCGCATCTTGCAAAATCAATAGTGGTTTGTTTGATTTGTTGCCATATTTACAGTTTTGTGGTTTGTTAATAACAAATTAGACACACTGCAACTGATCTTGTATAAAGCCTGATTTATTTATTTATTTATGTCAAACGGTTATCACTGGCCCATAGCCAGGCTTTCACATACTCCTTATGCAAAAAGAAAAAGGAAAAGCCAAAATCAGGTTCACACTTTACTCCCATAGTTTTTTTTTTTTTTTTTTTTTTTTTTGTGAAAAGCTCTGCAAATATGTCTGCCTTCCTTCACAGCCCCAGCACTCACACAGGCTCTCTCACTTTCCCTGCCTCACAAATAAAGTAGTGGTTGATATGACAAACCCAGTCCCTGAAAATCTCTCAGCATTAGGCTGTAGCCACTGAGTTACTGTGTGGCAGACCGGGCCGCTCTGGGAGGAATGCTGCTCCTAATCCACTCTTTATTAAAGTCTCTGTACAATGGTGCTACAGGTCTCTGGGCCCCCACAGCACTTTCCACCAGACACTTACACACAAATCCCACACCGACTGAGGTACAGCCTCGACAAAACAGAAGCTGTATGCTGAGCTGCTGCTAATATTCTCTAAAATTCACTCTAAACCTTATGTTCTGTTTTGGTAGTTGTCAGTTTTAAGGGTATTTAAAAAAAAATGTTTTTGGAAGCAGGGGGGGTCAAACTGTTGCAGGAAAGGAGTAGTTATCACAGTTTATGTCAAATAAAACTATAATGTGTATCACAATATGTACAAATTTTCACATTTTGTAAAGTATGATTAGAGAGTGGTTTTTAGGAGAGTATTGTTTGACAACAGCTGGAAGGCTCAGCGCCTGTGGGCAGTTTGCTTGAGTTTGTCATCACAGAATTGTCACACAGAGACCAAAAACCAAAACCTGTACTCACTGGCTGCATGTGGCAAACCACAGCACAGCTGGGAGCACTGCACGCTGTAGTTACACCTACCAATACACAGGAAGGTCACATTATACTTCCACCAGAATGTGTAAGAGCTGTCACAGGACTAGGTGATAGTGTTAATCTTTTTTTCCAAGGTTGCACAACATCACTGGATGCGACACATAATGCACTGAAAGCTGTGTCTAGATGGCCACACATATGCTATCTGATTTGTACCTTGCACTCTTGAATACAGACTGGAAATCAAAGGTGGACATAATTATTCTAACATTCCCCCCTTTAGACTGTGACCAGCATTTTGACTTGAGCCTAATAGCTTATACAACTGGAGCCAGACGTGCCCATATTTGGAAAACGGGGTGATTCTAAGTGGATTAGTATATTTTTACAGGTAAAACATGGTATTTAATTTGACAAAACCGTATATTGGTTCAGTTAACCACAGAGCAAGCCATATTATTTGTCCCATAACTGATGACTTGAAATTGATCCAAAAGGCGCCACCAAAACAAACAGTTGCGAGAGCTCCTGTTTAGTCACTCGAATGAATAAAGGCGAAGCCTGGTGATGCAGATAGGCGCCGGCACCTACCTGTCAAAGTGACCACAGTCCTAATAATGCAAAACTTTGAGCTATACCACAATTTAAAAGAATAGAAGGTTTTCTGAAATGACAAAGAATGTAATTTTATTGGATTTTTTTTTCTTTGCAACTATTAAACTCTTAAAAGTTGTTTTTAGGAAAATATTTTGATCATGTTGTCATTGCCTTGTGATTGACACTAACGTGTATATGTCTTCACAGGTCCAAATTACACTGTCTACACATGACTGTGGAGGGCTGTCAAAACGGGACATCAAAATGGCCAAATTTATTGACAAAATTTCACTTTCCATGTAGTGTTTTTTTTTGTCTTTAGTCTGCAATCTGTCACAGCCTTTGTAGATACACTGATTTTAGTTTCAACTCTTTAAAAAGACGACTGCACTACAGAGTTAAATGTATTTAGTCTTTCACATGTGCATATTCTGCTTCTGATTTTTGTCCCAAATAAGATCTGTCAAAATAAAATAAACATTTTACAGTTTAACTTGTTTCATCTCTAATTGTTTTAAAATGATGCAGTGTCTCTTGAATTAACACTGTGTATGAAAGCTCTTTGGTTTAGATTTCCCCAAAAGTCAGAGACTGGAAAGGTATCACTGAGTGATTTTCACATATGGAATTAAAATGGATCGTGATTGATCAGCAGTACTCTGTCAAGTTCTCACCAGTGAGCTTTTACATGTGAGTCCATCAGATCACATGCTCTCCTTTTGTCACTTGATCGTGTAAGGGGTCAAAGGCAGTAGGAAGGGAATTAATTTGATTTGCGATTTGGTAAAGGATGAACTAAATTCAGTGCCATCTACCTCTCATGTGTTTAGTTGTAGTTTTTTGGGGGGGAATCTAAGTTTATAAACATAAATATGCATAAATAAAGCATAAATATGCTTCCTTGGTCTTTCCTGATCATAGTGAGTTTAAAAAATGTTGTAAATTCTCATTTTATTGCCAAACTAAATTCAGAGTCAGCTCAAACCGATTTGCTACCATTTTAAATGAGGAACCTGACAACACTTCAAGTACAAGTCAGTGTCTGCTGGTTAAGCATAGAAAGTAAAAATGGGCAGCATGAACTGTCTGAATGTTACAAAATCCATCCAACAGTGACTCGTTTAACATGTTCCATCCCATTTGTTTAATTTCTACAAAATGGGTGAGATGTTGGAGCTTGACACATCCTCAGGACAATGCAAACATTGGAGGTCTCCTGCCCTGCTCACATTTTCATTTTCTATTACTTAAATCTGATCACAGTCAGTCATAAGTGCAATACCTAAAAAAACCTAAATCTTGATCACAGTTCTGGATTGAGGAATTCATGCTACGGAAACAAAGTAAACACTGAATGAATGGAATAATCAGAGACAGGGCAGGTTCTGTAATATCAATTTTCTCATTTAATCATATTTCTAAATGTCAAATAGTTTATTTATTGCATCAACTTGAATGCAGCTGGATTTTCATTCATCACTGACCATGTGGTATGTGATTGTAATAAGCCAAACAGAAGCTAATTGCAGTCATACTGATGCTTGGACTGGATTTTAAGTAACTATCAGCAATTGTTCTAGTTAAAGAGTAAGGTTAAAATGTGGGGTGATGGACTGGGTGTACTTCTTCTCACAATTAGTGGTAATTAATTACATGCTGACAAGCCTGGATGACTATATTAGTAATTAGAAAGGCTTTTAGCGCAAAGCATCAGGTAATGACTTTGATGAGGTTTTTCTGGTCACAAACGAGTGACATAAAAAAAACCCAAAGCAAAATATGAATTGTCTGTCAGAACAGCTTCAGTGTACTTTGACACTGACTCTACATGTCTCTGAACCTCTGCTGGAGGGGCTCTTCCATGTTATTCTTTCATTTGGTATTTAAATGACGGAGGAGAGCGCTAACTTGTCAGCCAGAAATCTTCCAGAAGTCAATTGGATTGGAATTTAGTGCCTGGGAAGCCCATACCATATAATTCATATAATTTTAATACTCATCAAGCCATCCATAATCCCTTTGTCCTGTTTGAATGGAACCTTCTCATGTTGGAAGAGTCCATTCCCATCAGGATCAGAAAATTCACTCCCTAAACCCCGCCAGCAAAATGACCCCCATGGCATATAACATAACTCTGTACTGTGTAATGCTTTTTTCAGATGGCATTGCTGGATCGCGGGATGCTGCTGCTAAATTCAGTTTTCTCATTGCTGCTAGGCCTCCACTTACAGGGTAACTTGAATATACATATTGTATAATTTGTCAAATTTTCACATTGTATTGCCAAGGCCATCTAAGCCCACACACACTGGTGAGGTTAAAGCACATGCTGAAAGTCATATATATATATATATATAAATAATCTGACAATACTATAATATTGGCCATATTATATTTACATTACCATAGTGAGATGACTTTAGTCTCATGAACAACATTAACTAATTATTATTTACTAGCTAATCTTAAAT